ATGTTCTGCGCCCTCTTCGTCGTCGTCTAGGAGACAATGTAGAGGAAAGTCCTCAGGTTCGGATTCTACCGGAGACTGGGTTAACCAGGAGATGCGGTCAATTTGACTGTCTTCATCTTCATCTGTGGTTTAGTCATTTTCTGCTGGGTTTCTGGAGAGCTGGTCAGGAAGTTGATTTTCTTTTCCTGGTATGGGAACTACTTCAAAATTGAATTCTTAGTAGCAGAGACCATCTGGACAATTTGGCTTTATCGTCTTGGTATTTATCTAACCATAGTAGCGCTGTACTATCGGTGGGAAGAGTGATTGTATTCCTGGAGGAAGTGACGAAACTTCTTGAGTGCCCATATGACTGCCAAGCACTCTTTTTCATTAATTTGATATTTTCTTTCGGCTGGACGAAGTTTGGTGAAAGCATGGGCAATTATCTTCCGGTCTTCGACAGAGCCTTAAAATAGAAAGGCTTCTATACCATATTTGGAGGCATCAGTCTACAGGCTAAATGGCTGGTTCATGTCAGGTCGCTCAAGGTGAAGAACTCCTGATAAAGCTGTTTTTAATTTATTGAAAGCTATTTCCGCCTCTAGCGTCCATTTGAAATATGTCTTCTTTGATGGTAAGTCAGTCAAATGAGTAATAATGACTGCGAAGTTTGGAACAAAATCTCGGAGTCAGTTTGTCCGTCTCAATAAAACTTCTCAGTTGTTTGACGGATTTGGGTCGCTGAAAACCTTACATTTTCTCACAATGTTTTTCCAAGGATTAAGTATCTGTGTAGGTTATTTTGTGGCCCAAATATGTTGGTAGCAAACCGACATTTTTTAACGACACCCATGGTCAATGAGTTCTGAGTCATTCTAGGACGATGTAGAGATGTTTTTGATGGTCATTCCAGAAGTTTAAATAGATAATAATATCGTCCATATAGACCTTCACGAATTCGTTCATGAAACCAGCGAAAACTGATGTAACCAATTTTTGGAAGGCTGCAGGTCCATTTTTGAGTCCGAATGGCATAACTACGAACTCATAAGCTGATTCGTAGGTAGACTGAATGCTGTCAACGGGATCGAATCGTTGTATAGTGGTATTTGCCAAAAACCACTCTTTAAGTCAAATGTCGAAAATATTCTCGCCGTTCCTAGATCTTTAATTGCATCCTGAATTGGCATCAGGGCGGAGACCTCGTTAACTGTTATGTTGTTAATTTTACGATAATCAACACAAAATCGAGGTGTGCCATCCTTCTTCTTGATGATCACCACTGGGCTGTTATAGGGTGATCGACTTGGTCGGATGACACCTGCTGCAATCATCTTCTGGACTTTATCGAAAATGACTTTTTCTGGGCATGAGAAGATTTAAATGGCTTCGTAGTAATCGACTGTGTCTGTGTCAGCTTGATTTCCATCACCGTGTCTTGGTTAGTGGGTTGCTTAAGTTTGTCGTCGAAGACGTCTTCGTACTCGTGCAGGAGTTCCCTTACGGTTGGGACTGCAAATGGTGGAGCTTGATCATCTTGAAGTTGAGTCTTTGAGTTAAGTTGTTTGGCTGAATGCGACTTCCACTAGAGGACTTTTGGTTTGAAATTAGATCTTGGTTTAGATCTTTAACAATAGTACATCTCGTTGTGGAATGAAAACTTCCAAAGTCGATGGTAACTTCTATTGTACCCTGACTGTGTGTATTGATGTATTTGCAAGCCAACTGGACTATTCTACGCCTTTTGTGTACGTCTGCGGATTGCACCAATTCAGAGTTGATATGTCATCGATGCACCGGTATCGATAAGGACCTGGATTTCTTTGAATTGATGTTCGCATCGATTCATGGCAGATTTGGGACCATCTTGGCATTGATTGGATTTAGTTGGGGCACCGTATCTGGAGAGAGGCTTAGTGGGTGCTTCTCTCGTTGTTTCCCTGGTTGTTAAGCTGTTGAGAGGGTTTTGGAGTCGGTTTATGAGTTGGATTTATATTTCTCCATTTGCCATCATTTGCCTATATTCTAATGCATCAAATTCCAGCCTATATTGTTATGCCAGAAACATTTAACTCTTCTGTGATGATTACATGAGGGTTATCAGATGCGCAATGTACACAATTGTGACGATTAATTAGTCCGTTCAGTTTAAATTTTTGTCAGACCAAAGAATGGATCGGTAAAAATTTGCGACGTCTTCTGCGCACCCAGTGTACCACTAACAAAGTTGTAGCCTGCGATCTGGATTGTCTTCAGATGACGCCTTCAACAAACGCGGACGATAACAACCCATCTTTATTTTCCTTAACATGCGATGAAAACTGGTGCGTCATATTTATAATTCACGAGATGTGCGACGTGCGGGTTTTTTTAACAGCGTTAACCCATTAATGCCCACCGTATTTTATGTAATACGCGAGACACTGCTACATATTTCGCCATCTACTAGTCAGAAAAAAAAGTATAAATTAGCTGTTTTCCCAATATAGGTTACAGAGTAGATGATAGAAGGTAACTGTTTATCATAAAATGAGAAATTTATAACCGCTTGGTGGTGAAGAGTGATTAGTTTTGCGCCAAGTTTTCTTAGGTTATATTATAGTATACCGTTTTCATTTTAGTAGAGTTTGTATGACTTTCTTGGCTTATTTTGAAAAATCTTTTGTACTGTTCAACTAGAAAGGTTTCTAAATATCGAATAGTGATATAAATAGTATTGAAATTTATACTGGTGAGTATTTTGAAGATCTTAGATTCTTGCGTATGATATAGGTATATTACGCTGGGCACTTGTAGTAACTAATCAATATTGTTTCTGTTTTAAAAAAAAAAATAAAAAAATATGATCCTAATAATCCCAAAGATGCAGAGGAATTGTTAAAAATATATGAGAGTTTAGAAGATGACGATACTTTGGCTAAGGAAATTGACCAGTGTGATGAAGTTCAACTCACGTTGTATTATCCAAATGATGGAAATGATTCTGACAGAGACGATGCCGGAAGTGATGAGGAAGACCAGTTCAATTACACTTTTCAAAGTATTGGCCGAGGTACACTGTCTCAAAGCATGGATATTACAGCTGTTTCAAGAAATAATACAGCAATTGAGAAAACAGTGATGTCAAATACAACTGTGGCTAAATCTCACGAATCAGGTAAGAAAAGAAAAAGGGAGGTTGCAGAAATTTCACAAACTTCTGAAAACAGAAAAAAATCTATGAAAAAAATCGATCGTAAGTGGGAAGAAAAAGAACTAGAGAAAGGAGCCATAAATGATGTTTTCAGAATCAATATAGAACCCCATATACTAAATGAATGGAGACAATAAAATTTGAAGCCAATCGATGTGTTTAAATTATTCTTTGATAAAAAATTTATGGACTATCTTCGGTAAAGAAACGGTAAAGTATGCTTCACAAAAATCCTGCCCTTTCTCTTTGTCCTTATTCTCTCTGGATACCATCCACTGCCTTCTAGAAGAATGTATTCGGAATGTCGAGGGGACTCTCACTTACATCTAGTAAGTAATACTATGTCGAAACAGATTTGAACAGATTCATAAATTTTTACACTTTAACGATAATACGTTGTACCAACAAACCAATAAAGCATTCAAAGTTCAACCCCTAATTAACCATCTAAATGAACGTTTTCATCATTACCTCCAGCCAATGAACGGAAGTTTCTCAGTGGACGAAGCGATGGAGCCGTATTATGAGCATCATTCAATGAAGCAGTTTATCCAAGGAAAATCCATCCGTTACGGATATAAATTCTGGTGTGTTGCGACCAGTAAAGGTTACCTTGCAAAATTTCTTCCCTATACTGGAAGTGGAGATAAACTACAGGGCTACTCATTAGGGAGTTCCGTAACCGAAAAGCTGTGTATAGGGTTTTTACCACAAGAATCTGTTATCTATATTGATAATTTTTTTACATCTTTACCTTTACTGACACGGTTGAGAGATGAAAAGATACACTGTATCGGCACAATTAGAAAAGACAGAATTGAAAAAGCCCCACTCAAAGAAGTAAAAAAGAAATTCGTGGAACTTCCCACGCTCTATATAGCGAAGAACATCAGCTCACTCTTGTTCGCTGGAATGACAATAATGAAGTTACTATGGCAACTAATATTTCAACTCCAGAAATATTTACTATAGGAAACTGTAACAGATGGTCCAGAAAAGACAGAAAAATTATAGCGGTCCCTCAACCAAACGTTGTGCAAATGTATAACAAGGGAATGGGTGGTGTAGACTTATTCGATAAGCTAAGAGGTTTATATAGGATTCGAATTCGATCTAAAAAATAGTATTGGGCGATATTTAGATTTTGCTTGAATGGGGCAATAGTCAACATGTGGCTTCTTTACCGCAACATTGAGGAAATTTCTTTATTCGAATTTTACAGACGAATTGTGGCCCTGCTGACAGCTCCAGATATTCCAACACCACATGGAGTACGTCCAAAATCTTCAAAACATGTTGCTGATGAAATTCGTTTGGATAATGTGGGTCATTTGGTGGACAAAATTGAAAAACAACGAAGGTGCGGCAAGTGTACCAAATATCGATGCATTAAATGTAATGTAGGACTTCATCCCGAGAAATGTTTTGTCAAATATCACACGTTGTAAATATTTTAAAATAAAATATATCTTATGAAATATTGTGTCCTTCATTGCCCAGCGTATGATATATCAGACGTCAAAAAAAAGACAGTTACAAAGAAGAAAAAACGTAAATTTTGCACATTTCTATTAAAAACAACCTCTCTTTATTTAATTCTGAAATTTTGATTAAATTTTGATAAAAATTTAATTTTGGGCATCGATGGGTTAACTGACTTTTGGTCCACCCATGTAAGAAAAATAAAAAAAATTAATTGGTATAAGCAAGACATACATTGATTGACCAAAAAACATTTAAAATTGTATATAATGAATAAACTTATTTTTTGTAAACAATTGATACAGTTTCGAACCAGAATATTACTTATTAATCTATTTTGTAGGTTTTTGAAAAACTCGAACAACTGTTTAATGGATTTGAAGAATACCCTCCATTAGCTTTTATTTTTATGGGAAATTTTATGTCGAATTCCCATGGTAGTGAAAACATGGAAGTATTGAAGAAACTGTTTAAGAGATTAGGAGAACTTATTTTTAAATTTCCTAATGTATCGCAGGAAAGCCAATTCATATTTGTGCCCGGTTTGACCGATCCGTGTTTGACGCATATTGCTCCAAGGTAAATATGATTTCAAATAAATACAATCAAATATAAGAAGTTTCATGAGTAATCCGTTTTTCTTTCTGATTCTCTTTTATGTTATCAGTGATAAGGCTAATCTTTTCTTGGCACTTCAAGAATTATATTTTGCTTAACTAAACTAATGCACTTCGAAAAAGATTTACAAATAATTTATATATATATATATATATATATATATATATATATATATATATATATATCCGGTATTTAGGCGGCACACGCCCTTCCGGTAGGGATCTATGGAGGAGTATCACCGAACTACAAGCCCTTATCTCTTGCCGTACTCTGTCGTATTCTAGACAAAGCCGCAGATTCATTTAGAATTTTAAACTGCTGCGTTATCCTTTTTGTTTTCTGTACACCGAGCTGGGAATTGAACTTACATCTCTCGCATTGAAGCGAAGGAGAAGACTGCCGCCCAGCCTGCTTGGCTATCCGATCGACTACAAATCGATTACACATAGTTTCTACTACAGATCGATTACAAATAGTTTATATTTTACAAAAAAAAAATACTTTTTCTGTTTCATAACAAACCTACAAACCTGGAGTACTATCCGTTACAAGATAATTCGGATGGAATTCCCCACATTAAGAGACTGGGCCGATATCAAGCATAAAATGACTGTACACATTTTTAAGGTACTTTACTAAATGATACAAAGTAGATGTAGCCAGTTACGTATTTTAATTTTGAGTTGTTAACGATTGGTAAATCAAATTTCAAGCATAATTTTTTGTACCTATTTAAATTTAACAGTTAATTGCATTTGTACTTGGAATTCAGAATTACAAATTTCTAGTACGTAAAACCACTGTTTATAAGAGATTAGAAAATTTCTTTGAATTTTATTCAGATAAAATGATAATGTTTACTTGGTATCAAATTATCACTAAATGGGCTTCTGTGAGAAGAAATTTTATTTGAAAATAACTTCATTCTTCTTTTGTCGTTCATTTAGAACAGAAGTCAATGTAATAACTATAAATATAAGTTATATAGAAATGATTAGTGACGATGTCCTGTACATTCCTGCTACTATTTCAGGAAGTGAAGACGAATCTGAACCTGAAAAACGTTCTGGTTATATTCATCTCACAAACGATGCAAAGCAAATCATTTTTAGGCCACGAGCTGCCGCTATCATATGTATTCAGTGAATAACTTACCAACTTTAAATAAACTTTTGAGTGAATTAAGAAACAAAGAAATAATCCCCTAGTGTACACCTCCCCTACTTTTTGGAAGATTTTAAAATCTAATGGTTTTATGTTTAACAGACAATAAACGGCAGGCAATTATGGAATATAGCCGTTTAATAGAGTGGAGGTTCGATTAATTGGAGAGTCTAAGGTCTTTCAGGAGTGAAGGGAAGAACTTGTATTCTTTGGATGAAACTTGATTCGACACCCACGATATAGTTAAAAAATGTTGGGCCGATGGTAGTAAAAATTGCGTTACCAATGTTCCTCCCTCTAGAGGGAAGAGGATTTGTATTTTACATTGTGGGAGAAAATCAGGACGGGTAGAAGATGCTTTATTACTCTCTGCTAAGAGTTTAAGTGATTGTCGCTTAGATTATCATCAAGATATGGACAGTACTTTGTTTGAAAAGTGGTTTGAGCAGCAATTACTACCTCAATTAAAAAGAAATAGGGTTATTATTTTGGATAATGCTCCGTATCATTATAGACTAAAAAATAAAATTCCAAACACTAATTCAAACAAAACATGAACTATATTTTAAGGGTTCTTACACAAAAAAACAACTTGTAGAACCTTTAAAATTAGTTAAATGTGAAAAAAAAAATATGTTATCGACAGGCTAACTGAGAATTATAGCCATAAAGATTACCTCCTTAATATTGTGTACTGATTCCAATAGAATTGTTTTGGTCTCAATTAAAAAGTAATGTGAGGAAAAATAATAATTCTCCTATTTTCATTTTTGAGTGTTGTAGATTTAATTAAGACCGAATCTAATAATATTACAGCAGATAATTGGCAAAAATGTATAGAGCATGTCAAAAAACTAGAAGAAAAATACTTGCAGTTCCAAAGCATTATAAATATAGTAGGTATAGATTTAAACGATAGCGATGATAGTGATACCGATTAAAATGTAGACGATAGTTAAGTTATTTCCGAAGTGGAAATCGAAACGCCAAAAAACTTTAAACTTCGATTGTGGCTTATTCCCATTAAAATAGTAATTATATTACAGTTTGGTTGCCCTCGGTTTTGATATAACTCACGATATTTTCTAAATGCTGCATACGCAGAGAAACTTCCCTTGCATAAATGTATCATATCTTCAACGCCATAAATACTTATAAACTGGTATTTTTAGAACCTTTTTTTAACCCCTTTTCTCTATTCGGATCGCCGAATATAGGCCTCTCCTAATTCTCACCATTCATCTCTGTTGTATGTAAGACGTTTCCACATTGGCCCTGCAGTTTTTTAATATTGTCGCTCCATAGGTTGTACACAGAAGATCTTTCGAGTAGCATTTTGGGAAAGTGTACTTTCCCAAAATTTTGGGTAATATACAAATGTATGGTAGCTTATATTTCTTTATTTCAATACATGGCGGTCTATATTATAATCTTCCGTTGTGGTTCTGAATCTATTTTGTTATGGAATATTTTACATCAAAGCTGTTATATTTTTGGGAGTACATCTCATAAATATAATTAAATGTACATTATGTTTTTGACGTTTCGAATTCAAAACTACAAATTTTTCTCAAAAGGAAACTTTAAGTGAGAGCGCCCACCAAAGTGGCGTGGCAGTGGCAAGTAGCAAGTAGCACGCGTCTAGCATCATGTAACCAATGAAAACGAATGATTCAGTTTACACCAAAATGACAGTGACGTCATTGATTCTAATCATTCGTTTGGATTGGTTACATTATACTAGACGCGTGCTACTTGCTGCTTGCCACTGCCACGCCACTTTGGTGGGCGCTCTCACTTAAATATGAAAATGATAGACCCGCAAATAATTTTTTAGAGGTTATTTCCATATTTTATTTTTATGGTATTAAACCACAATTGATCGTAATAAAAATTACATGTTATATTTTTGTTTTTGACGTTCGACCTCCACTTCAACTCGAAAATCGTTTTTTTAATAAGATTTATTTAACACTTCCACTATCATGAAAAGCATAACGTGATGCACGAGTAATATGACTTTACAGCCGCGAGAGTCAAATATCGATTCTCACGCATCACAAATTATAAAAGCTGTGAGAAACAGTTGTGGCCTCTCATATCAATGTATCGTAATGTAGTTTAAAAGTATACGGCTGTAACACAACAGAAACTATATTTGGCCTCTGAAATATGTGAAGCAATGTTTGATTTTCATAGCCTTAAAAGTGGGTTACTGATGTCACAGAATAATAAACAATCAGAATGCCCACTCTCCATGGAAAATTAAGTACGCGCATCTCGTTCGCGCAGACGTTCCGCCATGTTTTAAAGGGAACCAGTGTTGTTTAATGAAAATTGATGTGGTGTGCATAGACAAATGTGGTTTAATTGAATTACGGCAATCATAGACATACTATACAATTATATTAATATTGTTAAATATGATAACAAATATAATATAATTAAATATAAACAATTACATAACCTCACAAATCATATGCCTGTGTTATGTGTTTCCTTCTAAAATATGGCGCGCGTGCTGAAAAACTTCAAAGGCGGCATCTGAGAGTGGGCATTCTGATTGTTTATTATTCTATGCTGATGTACTAAACTGTACACTCAAATCAACTATTATTTATTTATTTTTTAACGAAAACTATCATTTCCATACATTGTTATTTTAATAATAAATTAACAAATACTTTATTTCGTAAATTTGTGTATTTCAAAAACAACTCAAATAATAATGCTTATTACATTGGGTACAAAGATATCTTCACTCAGGAGTTTTCAATTGAGCCTTTTTTCGTCCAGTTTTAGCAATAGTTTCATAACAAACAACACACCGACGATTACTGGAATCTACTTATTCCAATAAATGACTGTCGTTAGGATTAGGGTTTTGTTGAATTGATTTTACTAGGTTTACTACGAGGTTCTCTTTGCATTTTGTTATAGTCATTTTCTTATTTGACACTTTTACACTTGGTGTAAAATATAGGAATTTGTTAACGTAGTACCCACAAGCAGTTCAATTGCTAACTTTCTATACCACTTAACTCCGTTTCTCAATGAGGTTGTGTATGTTTTCATTTGGTCAGACAGATCGATGTATGTTTTATGTTTATTGTAATTAGTTACAGCTTTTGGTTTTGGCTATCTTCTGTGAGTTCGGCAGTGTGTTTTGTACTTAGAGTATAAACATCGCGTTTGTCTTTCATTTCATTCATTGATTTTTGAACCACCACTCCTATATTACTTTCAGCTACAACTGTTTGTCCTTTTTGCAATTTCGTATCAATTATATGTTTGGAATTTAATTTTCGGTTAGTTCTCAGAGTTGCAACTAAATGAGTATTTTTGTTTTGTAATTTATGGGCTAGAGAAATACTGGTGTAATTCATGGAAATACTAGGTTATTAGACAAAGTCTAATAACCAAAAATAAAAAAAGTAAAGTTAGTGATGATGATATCCAACCTCCGATTGGGATACGGCACTTAAAGAAGAAGAAGACAAAGTCAGTATGGGATTGGGCATATAATTGTAATAAACGATATCAGACAAGACTGCATGAATCATATGGACTTGTTTATTCATTTATTATGTCACTTATATGGTAATTCTCATCTCTTCTTCTTCTTAGGGTGCCTGTCCGTTCCGAACGTTGCCGATCATTCTGGCTATGATGATTTTGTTGGTTGCTATACGAAATAGCTGTGTTGAGGTCTTTCTATACCATACTCTCAGGTTAGCAAGCCAGGATATTCTTCTTCGCCCTGGGGCTCTTTTTCCTTCAATTTTACCCTGCAAAAT